CTAGATCGAAGCCATTTGGAGTCCGTTTTTGGTGATCCAATAGTGGTTTCCGACTATTTGGAGTATTCCGGACACATCCGTACGGTCAGATTTTGGAGACGGAGTTTCTGTAAAAGAAAGGCAGATTAAAGTGGCAGACGGCGTCAGGGGCAGTGTACGGAATATTCTGTTGGTACACGGAATATTCCCTGAACTTCTGAAAATTGCAATTTGGCCTAGAATTTTCAGAAAATTGTGGTGTGGCCCAGCTTTCGGGGATAGTTTTCAGTGAGGTCCCCGGAAATGCAGCAAAGGTTGGTTCTAGCTAAACGGACCGCTCCGGACGCAACCGCGAGGTCAGAATAGTGAAATTCTGAACGGTTTGGGAAGATTGTCAAAACATGGGTGTATGTCATCTTCAATAGTCAAAGGAAGGTTGCCGGATATTGTGGAACGCTGCGGATTCACTGAAGAGGTTAGAATGGACAGATTCTGACCATATTGGACAGCCAGATACAGATTGAGATAGATCATTGAAGACCAGAAGAGATCAGGCTTGATTAAATGGCAGATCGAGGGAGATCAAGATTGGTCAGGAGTAATCAGAGGATTGCAGAAATGATTATCTCCGGAGTTCGTCGGAGGATCTGGTTCAATCAAAAGAGAAGACCATTCATCGACGGATAGATGATTTGGCAACCAGTACAGGCTCAGGGAAATACTGTGGCTGTTGGAGCTACTGTATACGAGTAGGTACTAATGGTATGTGGACATGTAGAACAATAGTTGCAGAGGAGCATACTAAGCGCAGAAGTACAATTGCAGACGTGCAACAGTGCAAGGGTACGCTAGAGTATCGTACAGAGACGCGAGAAGAATGTGCAGCAGCGGGTTGTTGACAGTTCACAGGAACTTCCAGACTGAGAAATTGAGACAGGTAAAACGCAAGAGTGCGTGCCAAGGAGTGGCAAGTCTTATTTCTCTATGGTGGTTTCTTTAGTTCCATGGCAGCAGATGATAGAGTTGATGCAGATCTCTCAAGCAAGCTTGACGCAGGGAGACCAGAAGCCATGGGTGCGAGCACTATGCACGGAGTTGCATAGTGGTAACTTGTACAAAGCGGTGGAAGTTGTCTTGGCAGAAGGGCTAACTGTCAAACATCAGTACGGACGTACAAGTGAGACAGAACCGAACATCAGGGATTGCAGCACAGACAACGGGCGTATGAGATCGCTGGGAAGTTGTTCTGAAGTGCAGAAAGCAAAGGCTGGTTGTTCAGAAATAAGCTCCGAGCAAGGAAAATTGAGGATGTTGATGTGTCAAACTCTGAAGTTTTCTAGTTGCTCCAGTGTTCATCATGCAAGGAGTTGCACGGTAATACAAGGAGTTGCACGGTAATGCAAGGGTATCCCGAGCAGGGGGTGCAGGACATCCAATCAGGGGGTGTCAAGATATCTTGGTTGCGCAAGTTCAAGCATAGCAAGTGAAGACATCCGAGACAGGAAGCGTAGAAGAGATCTGAAGGAGATAGGAGCAGAGGCTCTCTCCAAATCAGAGAGTGGTATGAGTTGAGTTGAGGATGTAGGATTCCCTCCTCTTCTTGTATCTCTGGTGTATTATCTCTAGCTTCAGGGGATGTAGCGTCTCAATGAGGAGATGAAGATTCTGTTGAAATTTGGGCGTGACAAGATTAGCAGCAGTGTGTGCAGTTTATCACCTCACATGGGTTGAGGGGGTGATTTGTTGGCTATGTTATTATCATCCCATGTGAGTGGCTAACCCACCTTAGAGAGAGTGGGGTGGTTGGAGACCACTTTAGAGAGAGTGGGAGTGGCACCTCCCCACTAACCAATCCACTAACCATTGCTGTCCAGCTACCTTCCCTCATGATATGTATAAATAGAGGTTGAGAGGAGAGTAGACAATGAGAGAGAACCAAGAGAGAAGAGAGTGAGAGATGTGAGGTGGAGAGACCGTCTCTCTCGGTGTGAGAGAGGGAGACGGGTGAGTGGGTGAGTGAGGAGAGTGTGAGCTCCTCCCCTATTATAATCTTTCTGTAATCTCTCCATTGTTATAGTGATAACCGGTTACTCTCCCGTGGACGTAGGCTTTAAGGCCGAACCACATTAAATATGGTTTCTCCTTCTGTGTGGGTGTGTTTTTCTACTTGGTATAATTTCTGGAAGGTCTGGGCGGGATCCCCGATCCTAACAGGTAGTTAGTTAGATCGAAAGTTTAACTAAACGTTAAATTGATATTTGAAGGTATAAGCGTAATTTTGGCAAATAAGTTCGGAATTGACTAAGATTTTGTAGTCTGAAAAACTATACAATAGTCCCATAGTATCACGTGACCATACTCATTCATTAATTATCATTCATTATGCTCCTTATATTCCTTAATCACTTAACACAAACAATTAATATTTTACATTTTCTACCAATCATACTACTATGAAACACCACGTGACTGTATTCAAATTACCGTATAATCACCCATTTAAAAATGGTCTAGGGAGCAAAACTCACAACGTTGCTATGATCTAAGCTGGATATCGGGAAAATTACACTGTCTAGCCATCCAAATCCTCGTTTTTACCGTTTATAGAGTCTCAACTCATTTTTATTTTTTGGGGGTAATTTTTTATTTTCTTTTATTATTTTCATATTCTAAATTCATAATTGGGTTTTAAAAACAATGGAGATTTGGTAGTATTTTCAATTTCTAATGAAGAAATAAACAGAAATCAGGAATAGTGAATTAAAAAACTAACACCGGCCTTCCTTTATTTTTTTTTTGTAATTTTGTGTTTCTATGAATGATATATTCAAAGAATTGTCATTTGAAGGGTCAATCATTTCAAGCTCATTCAAAAAATGCTGGAAGATCACACTGTAAATAAAATGAAATTCATGAACATCAACCATTAGATGGACTTCTTAATTCAATCATTTATTCAGTCCAATAAACTAATTTTAAAAAGCATCAAATAAATTACATGGTTGGTTGAACTTATAAATATTGAAATTATTTAACAGTTAATAATGATGAAATTATTGAGATTATTTCACATTATTAATCTTAATTCAATCATTAGATGGACTCTCAAACCTATTTTCTGAAGCTAACATGATGAAAAGTTCTAATTCACTGGTTAGTGCCAAACACTTGTATTTCAAATCAATAGTACTATGAGAAGAACGATTAAGTTTGCTACTACTCCAAGCCAGTAATTCAGATATTACATGTTGTCTTAGTTAATTAGGCCTAGTATTTTGGACCTTAATAAAATCTTGCTAAGTTTAGATAAGTTTTACCCATCTCATAACTGCTACTCTTATTAGTTCTGAAATACCGTGTTAATATGCTAAATCAGCATTATGAAATTACTGATAATAACTCTACAAAATATCTCTTCATTGATTTTGATTTTGAAAACTAATCACAAGTTTGCTACTATTTCAAAACAGAAACAAATATTACATGTTGCCTTAGTTAATTAGGCCTAGTATTTTGGACCTTAATAAAATCTTGCTAAGTTTAGATAAGTTTTACCCATCTCATAACTGCTACTCTTATTAGTTCTGAAATACCGTGTTAATATGCTAAATCAGCATTATGAAATTACTGATAATAACTCTACAAAATATCTCTTCATTGATTTTGATTTTGAAAACTAATCACAAGTTTGCTACTATTTCAAAACAGAAACAAATATTACATGTTGCCTTAGTTAATTAGGCCTAGTATTTTGGACCTTAATAAAATCTTGCTAAGTTTAGATAAGTTTTACCCATCTCATAACTGCTACTCTTATTAGTTCTGAAATACCGTGTTAATATGCTAAATCAGCATTATGAAATTACTGATAATAACTCTACAAAATATCTCTTCATTGATTTTGATTTTGAAAACTAATCACAAGTTTGCTACTATTTCAAAACAGAAACAAATATTACATGTTGCCTTAGTTAATTAGGCCTAGTATTTTGGACCTTAATAAAATCTTGCTAAGTTTAGATAAGTTTTACCCATCTCATAACTGCTACTCTTATTAGTTCTGAAATACCGTGTTAATATGCTAAATCAGCATTATGAAATTACTGATAATAACTCTACAAAATATCTCTTCATTGATTTTGATTTTGAAAACTAATCACAAGTTTGCTACTATTTCAAAACAGAAACAAATATTACATGTTGCCTTAGTTAATTAGGCCTAGTATTTTGGACCTTGATAAAATCTTGCAACGTTTATGCAAGTTTCACTCATCTCGTAACTGTTGCTCTTATTAATTTTGAAATATTATGTGAGTCCGTATTATGATATTACTATCCTTGGCAAAGTATCTCTTTATCGATTTTGACTTAAAAAACTAGTCACAAGACTTCTAAAGAGATAGTGGAAAGTCAAGAGGGTTTGTTTTGAAAATTCCATTGTAGTTAGTATATCTGTGTTTATCCAGTCATGTTATCTTATCAATGCATCCTTTGAAGTTTGCATACAATAATAGTCAAGTGGTTAAATTGGTTTTGATTCTTTTCAACTTCAAAAGTTGCAATCAAAGGGAATGGGATATTTGTTTGGTGAAATAGTTCTCTTGGCCCTCTTCTTTCAATCACCAAAGAGATAGTGGAGATGCTTTCCTCATTGAAGGCTATTGATTTATGTTTTCACAAAATGGAAGTCAATACAGACCATTTCTAAGAAAGTGTTTGAATGTATTATTTTCAATATCTTTTTCTTTTTTGCATTTGCTTTTCTCTTTTTGGGAATATATGAACCTACTTTGAAGAAGAATGGAGTCCTAAAGTGACTCAATGGACCTCATGTAACACATTTTCCTTTGATTTATGTAGTTGAATACAATAAATTCTCGTAATAGCCAATGGTTGAATCAGGAAAACTTCCCTTGAGTGAGCTATATAGTTGAATATAATCTAAAGACAGTTTAGTACACATGACTCTTACTACTACAAATTTAGGAAAAGTCAGACGCAAATAGTCTTATCTCGCATGCAAAGAGACTGTTTTCATGTTTCAAATCCATAACGCCCAAGTCATAACGTAATTACTTTAGCGCTATACCAATGACCACCCTTAGTTCATGTAATTGGTCACCGAAAAGGGTATTATTGTCCAAACTCCAAAATATAGCTTTTGATTAGTAATTTCAAGAATTTTCACAGGCTATGACAAGAGACACACAGTTGAATAAACAAAAAAGGGTAACTATCTGCAGAAAATTTACCTAAACAATGTAATTTTTCTAAATAAGATAAATTATTAACAAACTGAAGAATAACTAGGCTGATGGTAGGTACGATCATCAGGGTACTACATAGGCAGGGGAGTGCATTGTGAAGGAGTACAACGCATAAGCAACTGAAGAGCAGAACAGTATAGTAATCACCCATCCACTAAGGAACTTCATTAGGAGCTTCCAGTTCACATTCTGTAAAAATTATCTTTCAGTAAATAAAAATAATAATTTAAAAAAAAAGAAGAAACGAACATTAAGAAATGCAGAAGAAATTTTTACCTGGGGATCGTCTGCAATACCAACTCCTGCTAGAGATCCAACAAAAGTATGGACACTTGATACTGGAATCTTCATTTTATTCACCATTATCATTGTTGCAACTGTAGACAATTGTGATGCCATCCCTCGTGAGTTACTTATATATGTCAGCTTGCCTCCGAGGCAGTGAGTTAGCCGCCATCCACATAGAAAGAATCCCAACGAGGCACTAAGTCCACCGATTGCTCTAAACCACCAACTGACATGTAAATGGCCCTGCTAGTATTGTATGCATCATTAAACACAGTGGTTTCAATTTTAAAATGTCCTAACAAGGTTTGGGGCTAGATTTTAATGAGCAACGCGTTGAAAGAACAAAATTAAACTCACCACATCTTCCCCATTTCCGGAATACTTCTCTCTGTGTCTGAAAACATCTTCAATAGCTCCAAATGGACTCATAATAGCAGCAATTTCGTTAGCAGATTGTATAAGTCTGCATGTCAAATCATTAAACATGTGTCTTAAACATAATGTTAAAAATCATGGGAAGCAATGGATTATGAAGTTGAGTACAAATGAGGTGCACGATGATGAGAGAACCTACGCAAAGGTGCACGATGCTAGAAGTTGTGGAAAAATAAAGAAGTCCTCCATGTCATCAAACTTTTCTGCTAGATCGTGGCGAATTAGTGTCTGTCTGTCATGCTCAATAACCTGCCGAGAAATTTTTTGTGATAACCCTGATCAGTATATTTGTATCCAACTCTTTCCTGATTATACAATTAAACATCAAGTTTATGGTTCTGATCTTCCAGACAAAGATCTTCTTTTAGGGTTTGATTTTCTCTAGTTTCTAAATAAAGTCTCACGGTATAAGAATGTACAAATTACCAGCACTTGAATTGATCAAAGACTAACATGGCAGTATATGACTAAACAGTATATGTGGCACTAGACAGCATTATGACTTATATGCCAATACCAACAAATTAAAAATATCTTTGCTGGATTTTGGAATTTTAATCAATTTTCTAAGCCAAAAGTAATTATGATAATAAAAAACAGGGAAAATTTACCCAAAAGGTGTTGAAGGATATAAAGAAAGCTTACAGGGAAAATGGAGGATTTTGTAAGACCTCTGATGAAATTAAAGGCATTCTCTTTCGCTGTTGTTTTCTCAATCTTTTGAAAGTTTCTTGATTGCACCAAGTGGTTTGGCATGGGTGTGGACACGGGAGTGAGAAGCTGTCTAAGTGGAGTTGATTGCTCCGTAGTAGACTCAGAAACCGGTTGAGCATTTTTGGATTTTGTAATTTTCTCTGGTGAAGGGCAGCTTCGTTCGTCCTCTTCATAGACTGTATCAAGGACTCTCATCTGCATGAAATCTTTCAAGGCATCTTCAACATCATCATCATCATCATCATCATCTTCCGTCTTTGTATCACTTGCTTGATCTTGGATTTCTATACATTGTTGCTTCACTGAATTTTTCTTCTTCTTGTTTTTCAAAGTTCTAGCAGTGTCAAACCTTTTTCTAGCCCAGGGAACCACCACAACCTACCATTGCAAAAATCGAAATACCCATGAAAGTTAGAAGATGAATGAGAAAGTAAAAAAGAAAATTTAAAATACAATTGTAAATGTTAGTGTGATTGTATACTTTACCAGTGATAATAAGGCTCCAATCAAGGTGGCTAGTAAAATAGTAATTACAGTGATCCATTTATATACAATTACGAAATTCGGTACAACCTGCCATTTAACAATCAAAATAGCGAGAGTAATCCTTTTATAATTTAAATTAGCATTGCAATTTTTATAATTTTTCGTGAATAAGTGGACAAGTGAGAGCACAAGTAGTCCTTATTTAAGTACCTCATACACGACAAAGAGGCAAAGCAATCCTGCAGCTATCCCATAGTAAATGGGGAGAAAAATGAGGATTCTTTTCTTGGCATTTTCATGGCGAAGCAAACACGCCTTTAAGATGGCAAAGAGGCAAAAGGCTAATGCACAAGCTATTGATGGAGCGACGGTCCATTCAAGAAAAATCCAAAGGAGTCCCCCACCGTTGAAATTGTGATTTTCATTCTGCATTGGTTGAAGATGAAAAAAAAAAGTTGTTGAGCTTAGACTAATGTAAGAAATGAAGCTACTTCGATACAATTTCTCAGTTTAATGTTTCTTATTTGGACCTTTTTTTATTTTTTATTTTATATTTATTACCTTGTTCCACAAAGGTATGAAGCTAAAACCTTCAGTGACAATCATGGTTCCTAACAGGGCACCTTGTGTTGATTGCTGAGATGAAACTGGTAACTCAAACCGTGTTGCAAGTGCGATCCAGAGTGCTATTTGAAAAAAGAGACTTCATCAGAAGTTGAGGAAAAACCTATCATAATCAAAGTACTTTTGGATATAGATATGATTAATAGTAATATTTTCAATAATTGAGAATTTTTTTGGTAAGATTATAAACTCTTTAACAAGAAATGAATATCAAGTGCAGTTAATAACAATGATAGTTTCATGAATTACTTGCAGTGATGAGAACAACTACCATACTCCACATCAAGAAACCTTCATTGGGTTGCTTTTCTTTTATGAACTGCAAGATTATAATATAAACTTCATTAGCTCCAATTATCACATGAAAAATTACAATTACTGAAAAAAAAAAAAAAACTAAAATCTTTTCTTCAACAGCTACCAAACACTGTTGCAGCTAATTCGTTATGTTTCAGAGAAAATTGTTAAACGACTTAAAACGAAAATCAATGACAAATGTTTTATATGGTCAACACAAAATGAGTTGATTTGGGCAGAAACTATTATTTTCACTTTATATAGGTGCAAAACATTTTGTAAATTGGAATCTTGTCAACACCACCACCACTACTATTGCTACCTTACCACCACCACTACCACGGTCATACTACCCGGCATCACGATCACCAGTCACTGCCATGCTACCACTAATGGCATAGTCAGAAATTTGTTTAAGTGGTGTCATTTAATTAGTTATCATCGATATTATTGTTTCATATTTTTAACTCTACAAAACATATTAAAATAAAATTTCACATAATATACTACAATATAAGTGTAATATCTTGCATTTGCAACAAGAACATTGTATATATAATCCAGACTTATTAAATTTTATTGATTGAATAGTGAGAAGAAAGAAGAAAAAAAGACAAAATAAACTTTCATGTGAGGAGAAAAAAATCGTAAACATCTATAAATCTCATGCTTTAAAAGGAGGTTAACGCTTAACTGTCATTTAATTAGTTATCATCGATATTATTGTTTCATATTTTTAACTCTACAAAACATATTAAAATAAAATTTCACATAATATACTACAATATAAGTGTAATATCTTGCATTTGCAACAAGAACATTGTATATATAATCCAAACTTATTAAATTATATTGATTGAATAGTGAGAAGAAAGAAGAAAAAAAGACAAAATAAACTTTCATGTGAGGAGAAAAAAATCGTAAACATTTATAAATCTCATGCTTTAAAAGGAGGTTAACGCTTAACTAAGTTCTACTTTAAAAATAAATAAATAAATGATATATAAACAAAAATTTTATATAGAACAACATGACTTCTTATTATTCTTTCATTTTCAATCAAAACACTCATTATTGTCTTCATAATTTCACAAATATCATTAACACGTTATTTTGGATTAATTTTTGTACAAATTTTATGTTTGCAAAACATTTTTGAACACCATCTTATTTATTTGTTAAAAATTTTAATGGAGCCAATTTATAAAACCTTCGAAAAATTTACATAATACTACATGATATTAAAAAAAAAAAAAAAAATTGACTGTTTAGTGGGATCAATTGAACCCACTACATTACACATGGTTACGCCCCCAGCTGCCACCAACACCATCCCTACATCCACCACCTCCACCAGCACCGTCACCACAACCACACCACCATTACCACAAACCACTTGCTCATCATTTTCACGGTTGAAAACTAAATAAAGAAAGATGCTTTTTGCAAAATGAAACAATTCCCTTGAAAAATATTTTCTACAGAAACAAACAAGGCAAATACATTCTTTTTTGTTCCACAAGCGGGAAAACATAAAAGATGTGTAGTTGAATTTCCCAAAAAAAAAAAAAAAAAAAGAGAGGGAAAAAAAAAAAGAAAGAAAGAAAAAAAAGAAGAAAAAAAAGAGAGGAGATTTGATTTCCATACATCAGAGAATAAATCATTAACAGTACTGCTGCTTGCAAAGGCTGCCCCAGGAACATAAATTAGACAAGCCATTATTGAGGCCTGTAATAGTGTTATCGCCCCTGACCCTACTGCCGTTGAGAACTGCCAATTAAAAATTAATCATAAATTAAGCTCACTAATGCAAACTATAAATGCTTTAAACATTCATGTTTGCACGGTTATGTTTATTTGGGTAGATTGAATTAGATGAAATTAGTATTCTAGCACTCTTTTTGAGATTATCTATTTTTGAATTGGGTATCTTATCCTATATTTGGATTGACCTACGATTATGAAGGGGAATTGATAAAGTTCTATCAATTTTATAATTTAGTCAATTAGTCCAAACCACTTTTTAGCTTCCTATTTTGTATCCCATCTCCCTCTTGGAATTCAATAGTCTCTTATACCATTTCTCAGTGGACTATTACTTCATACCCCAATTTACATAGCCAAACTTGAAATTATATGTTTTGGTAGATAAGTACTCTGATCCCATAGTCATGTTTAGTCAAACAAAAATAACCTTAAGGCCATGTTTGTTTGAACAGACATGACCTTGGGATTGTATTAATAATCTTACAAAATGCGTAATTCAATATTTGACGAAGAAAATTGGGACTATTGAATTACAAGAGGGGGTATGATACATAATGGAAGACTAAGGAGAAGTTCAGACTAATTAATTAAATTACAAAATTAAGAAGATTTTGTCAATCATTTCTCATATAATCCTAAGTCAATTCAAACATAGGATAAGATAATCAATATAAACTAGTTGATAATTCTAAGATTAACAGTTTTAAGTATGCTAATCCCATCTAATTAGTCTGCCCGAACAAAAATGGCCTTGGGCTGTGTTTGGATCATAAATTTTGGTAGCGTATTAGAAAGGGAAAGGAAAAGGGAAAAATAAAAAGGTAAGTGAAATATGAATGAAATATAGTCACATTTCACTTATGTTTCACATTTCTCTTTTAAAATTTATATCTAAATCCATGATCCAAACAAAGCTTAAACGTATTGATTGGTTTGTGTAAACAGAAAAAAAGCACATACCGGTGCTGGAAGATTGTTTGCACCAACTGAAAATGACATAGAAGTTGCAGCAATGGCACCAAAAATAGGGATCCATTGATAGGTCTCCTTCCATTTTCTGATAACTTCTGCAGCCAAATCTACATGAACTGTTGTTCTGTTAATCGACATTCTGATTGTAGAGTCTCAGCATCAATTGGAGGAGATTTATCACCTAGTCAAGGATTAGATTGGAATGAACTAACAAATGTTTTTTTTTAATTTTTACTTCAACATTGGAACAATCTCCATTGATCATATGTTTTTGTTGTTTTCTAAGACTTGTTATCTTTTTCTTGCTTGTTGACAAGTTTGTTGCATATTCTCTTTCCATTTGGTGGGTCAGAGAGATTTCTTGAATCCTCCTCCTAAATTCATCACTATTTTCTTTTAGTACTATTGTTCAATCCTATGTTTAGAATTACATGAAGACAAAAATATTGAGATTGAAATCTCTATGGTGTGCAATGACATCTTTTAAGACAATGGTTTGATTAGTACTGTTTGTTTGGGAATTCAGGATAGAAAAGAGAATAAATGATTTTTTTAAGTTAAAGGAAAGAGGGAAAAAAAAAAAAAAACAACAACAAATATTATGTTTCCTTTTCTTTTTATTTGTTTAAGTTAGATTTATAAAAACAAGAAAAAAAAAAAGTGCTTTATCTCATATCTTAAAAAAAGAAAAAAAAGAAAACATTACATGTCATATTATTAAAATAATCTTTTATGTACTACAATTTTTTTAATAACTTATGTAGAGCATTTTAATATTATAAAAAGTTAGTAATAGTCACATTTCTTTTCTCTAGATATATTTTAAAAGTATGTTTTAGTTTCTTTTCATTTTTTAAATTTTTTCTTGATTTCTCTCTTCTTCGTTAATCGAAATAGATGGTTAGGATAAAGAGAAATTTTTTTTTCCCCCTCTAAATCATTCAATCCAACACAACACTTAAAGTCAGGAAAAATTAGTGATAAATCTCATTGCATGTACATGATTTCTATTAAGTACCACGACTTTTTATGTTAATCCATAAAGGGTTGTTTTGGAAATTAGCTTTTTAGTAATTTTATCTTTACGTTTTATAAAAAAAATGTGTAAAAAATAAAAAAAATAATTGACTTTTTTATAATAACATTTTGACTTTTGACTAAAATTATATATTCCCCAAATAGGCTGAAGTCTGTGGTAAGTGAGGATAGTCTGTGGTAAGTGAGAATATTTTCAATAACATTTTGGATCCTTTTGCCCTTGTACAATTAAATTAATGGAGTGAATGAAAGAATCAGACAGAATGATGTGGCCAGGGCATTAACTTTTATGTTTTTAAAATTAAAAGTCTTCTATTTTTAATAAAATTTATATTTTCAGAACCTATTTTACAATATATCTATCAAACAGGATCTTACTAGAATATTAAACTATGTAAAATAATTTTTTTAATTTTATGCTTTTAGGGGCTTGTAATGGTGGAATTTCACACTTTTGGAAATAATTTTTAAAATAGTAATTTTTTTGTTAAAAGCTTAAAAAAAAGAGAAAAGGATTAAAGTTTCTAATATTGTGAAATGATGTGTGAAATTGCATAATTTTAAAACTAGATATTAAAATTTCATATTTGCATAGATTGACCAAAATGATATCCATCCAACCAACCAACCATGTATCGTTTCTATTGCCATCTTTCAATTGATCTTGGGCTTCATGAATAAAACTAATTCTTAGCCTTGTCCTTTAAAGAGGTTGAGAACAATCTAATTAAAACCACTCCATCGCTAGCATTTAAATTATGCAAAGTAGCAAAATTCTCCTCAACTTTTTCAAGATGGTCACATGGATTTTTTGAGCCTAAGCCAGAAAATTTAGCAAGTAATCTGAACAACTTAATCGTCAACTCAAGGGTGCCTTCAAAAATGTTGGATGGAAAAATCAGACATGATGGAGGTGTTGTTTATGGTTGCCAATAAGTGGGTGCAGTACCCAGCAACTGGTTGTCATATTGGATTCTAAACCCTCCAACATAATTTCCAAAATAATCTATTCTTTTTTTTTAGTGTAGAAAATTCAAATTACTTGCAAATAAGTTTACACTTACAATATTTTGCCGAATGATTTTTTTTTAAAGCTTGAATCCTCGGTCACAATCAACGGTAAGTCCTTCGTTTGTAATCACTTAAATAATCTTCACTTGCTACTTTAACAAATTAAAACAAAAATTATATAATCCTAAATTAATCTAAAAATTAATTTCCAAAACCTAAACAACCGTGTTGTTAGTCTGCCAAAATTTGGTAGTTCTTTTTCACACTAAAAATAAGGAACTAAACTAAACCTCAATTCCATAGAATATTGGTAAGTTTAGGTATCGATCTCCACAAAGATTAAAAGACTAAATTGTTTAAATATTAGAAAATCAATTCTTAATTAATTCGAATAAGATGAATATTTTGATTTTAATCTAAAATTAACCAAAAACAATTATGAAACAAAAAGAAAGATTGTGGTGAAGTTTAAGTAGAAAATAGTTTTAGGTTTTGAAACTACCTTTAATATCATATCAAGTAATTAATATATTGAATTCCAGTAAATCAATGATTCAGATAATATTGATGTATCATGGCTACAAACCCTAATATCATAGTCAAGAGAATGAGCATAATCAAATCACAAACACAAATCATCTTTGGTGGGTACGAATCGTCTACACTAAACTAGGGTTATAGCACGACTTGTCTTTCTTAGGTATGACTCGTCTCACGGTTTGTATATACAAACGAATAAACAATTGTATAACAATATATTCTCAATCACATAAATCTAATACATTCATTACCTAAAAACTTTACTTGAATAAATAATCTTTGAAAGTTATACAATGATTATCCAAGCGAAATGAAAACTAAAATCACAATACATTAATAAAAGTTATTTGATTATGGCTTCATCTCAATCCTAAAGAAGAAGATTAGCCGCTCATGGTTGAGATGGAAAACCTCTTCTCCTTGCATCTCTCCACTTTTCTTTGGAATCCTCAATTAACCCTAATGATTAATAGGCTTCTGTATTTATAGACATAGGACACATCTAAATAATACCATAGAGGCTAGAATTCTCCAAAATGAAAGGGAAATTTGGATAGAATTATTCCTATCTTTTTTTCACTCATCTTGCGGACCCATTTTGACCTAGTGAATTTCAGAATTGGAGAATTCTTATTTCATACAAAATTGTATCCCTTTAAGTTATCTTTCCAACGTTTCTTGATTTGCCTTAATTTGATATCAGATGAGAGAGATATGCCCAAAACGCCAAATGCAGCGTAGAGAGTCACTCTAACTTTTATTTCTTCAAACTTCATGGGTTGGGCTTTTCTTGCTTGATTAAAATTATTTAGATTCTTCTAGGCCTTCAAAGTTGAGTTGGAGCTTGATCTTAGGTTTCAAATATGAAATTAAGTTCAAATTCTACTCATAAACTTGAGTGACCTGCACATACACAAACATATTGAAATCATTAAGTAACAATAATTAAAGAACCTAACAAGTGTACTTTAAAGGGTCTAAATGTGTACATTTCGGCAACTATAAATTTTTTTGAAATGAAAGCTTATTGATTGGCTTATGATTTCTAAAAAGTGCATGGCGTTATTCTTGGAAACAAAACTTGTATTTTGAGCATGACACTTCATTGCATCTCATAATCATGATATTATTAAGACTCATGCACTTCATTAAGATTATCTCTGTTGGGCTATATGCTCATTCCTATGTGAAAAACCATTTTTAGGTATTGACAGTATGCCTCCGAAGGTGAAGGCGCGGAGGATTTTGGAGCATCAAGCTCGTTTTTGTTATATTTTTACGAAGCAAAGGGCTAACTTGTAATTGGGGTTAAAACCCATTTTTGATGTAACAGGGCAAGGCTCTTGGAACTTGTAGCCATTAAGGCATATGCTTTGTATTTGTTTAGCACTATCTTCTGTAATTACATGCCATAGATTTAAGCTTGAAGGGTTGTGAATTTCTCAATGCATGTAATTTTATTTAGAACATATTAATGGAATATAAGAGATGGAGGTTTATTGCTATAAAGACAACTGATCTATACTTGAGATTATTTATTACTTTCGCATGTTTAATACTATTGATAATTGGAAATTGGGTAATAAATATGGGTTATATTTGTAACATGCCAAGGGAGGTACCTATGCGCGTTAAACAGTTCTAACTCTCGATTTCTTCGATCTAGTCTCACGAGTACAATGTGAAACATAAATGAGAGTCCATATTTGGCAACTTTTATAGGAACTCATTTTCTTGCAAAACATATTTGCTAGAAATAGATTGTGTCATCAGATCTTAGAGTCGCCAATTAATATTTTGGTAGAATTAGGAAACCCGTGACTCGTGCCAAGACCACTGTTAGTTGTAACTAAGGATGCTTGGCTCGGAACCTTAGGTATGAAGAGGGAAGGTCATTAATTCAGCACCCACCCCGCTCAAAAGATCAAAAGATCAGCCTTTACTAACCATGATATGATTTTTTATTTCCTTTATATGTTCATATTCCGGTTATTTATTAAATCCTAAAATTTATTTATGAAGCAAACAAATATAGACTGTTGTGTTCATTTTGGAACAATTTGATTTCATTATTTCGAAAATGTTTTGACTAGTGCAATCAAGAAAATCAATCTTATTTCAAATTAAATAACACAACCTTCACCCACTGCATGCATAGAGTTATATCAAATAATTGATTAGCTACATGGTAGGATGCTAAACATAGTAGAAAAACAGGCACACGCTAGATGCTAAAGCACAAAAATATATATATTTATTGGCGTCCCGCAAATAGGCACAAAAACAAAATTAGCAAGATCCTAATGCAATTTAGTCATGAAATGCAACCACAGATCCAACTTCTAATATATGATATGTTAATCATCTCAAAACATAAAGTAGCACACAAAATTACATAATAATCGATTAAACTCATAAATGCAAATTTAGTCGGATCTTAAGGCATAAACCATGGATGCATGGCATGTATATGATGACAAGCATGAGATATTACCTATTTGCAAAATATGGAAAGAAAAATAAAGAACGGAATAGAAAGAAATGGGGACGGGGAATTATTACATCACTTTGGAATATTACAA